AAAAACAAGTCATCCTCTATAAGAATCAGGTATTGACTATCAATGATTAGCTTCAAAAAATACGGAAATCAATCACTTCTTTAAACAATAGTCAATATTCAAGTGATAAACTCTGAACTGGATGAGGAGAGGAAAATGATTTGGACTTTTTCACATTTATTCTGACTCATTTTAGAATTTGAATCTCTTCAATAATAATAAGAAAAAGAGAAAAGTAATAGAAATTAAAATTATTCAGGAAATTAGACAAGTGCTGCAATGTGGGCATAAGTGAAAGGAGAAGAAAAGAGGTAGAATTAGAAAAGGAGGGAATGCAACTCCATTGCAATGACGAACTTACACATGAGAGTGACTGTAAGGAGCCATATTGAAAAGCACCATAATAGGTGATATTTTTGTTGCTGAGATTATCATACTGATGAGATGATCTCCTTGCCTGTAATAACTCCATGGATTTTTTCCATCCTGGTGTTCCAAACTCAGAGGACACTTCATTCTAAGCTTCCCAGAGACTGGGTGGGACATCAGCAGCAGAAGAAGCAGAAGAAGGAGGTCCATAATTCATGAGATTGAATCGCTTTCTAAAGAAGAACAAAAATGAGAGTTAGAAGAATTCACAGCACTGTCACAATATGGAAATGCCAATGTTTCTTGTAGGGAAAGAGACAAAGTGAGCTTCATCTGAAGAGAAAATACATTCAAGAGCACAGTCCCTGCCTCTGTGTCACACAGAGCATGACCCAAAGCATTTATCTTTTTCTGATGCAAGATCCTTGCATGTTTCTTCACTCTGATGTTTACATCAAAGGCAGTCACTGGAGAAGTAGCAAAAGAAGTGGGAAAGACCAGGATGATGATAAATGCAGAGAGAAGCAAATTCTCCTCTGTAGATGCCAAACCTTTTTCCCTGGCTTCCATGTGCAGCTGAGGAAAAGCAAGTTGTTGAAAAGTCACATATCCACCCCTGGAGGCACTGTTCTGTTATTGATTGTGGTCCTTCTTGTCAGGACTTGTCTAGAAAGTGATGCTGGGGAACGTTAATTCAAGACCAGGGAATTGACTTCTGCTGTCCATCAATATGATCTCTTGCCTCCAAAGACTGCAGTGAAAAGTCACCTACAGCTATGGGATTCGTGTCACTCCACGTCAATGAAAAATAACTCCAGTGTTGTCTGTCTTCTAATGCCAAGGAGCAATCAGTACTGTTAAACCAGAGTTAGAAACTGAATAATTTAAGATTAAAATTTAAACATGTAAAACAACCCTATAAAGTCCCAAGAGTTCTAAGATATGGGGACTAAGAGTTGTTAATCCAGCCAGGAAGGTTTTCATAGGGCCAACCAGCCCCATGTCTATGTGAGCTTCTATATTCCCCACTGAAGTCCACACAGCCAGGTTTTGATCCCTTTCTGAAAGGCCAAAAGACTGGGGATTTTTCTCACCTCTGAGGGCAAGATGTTCCACAATGCAGGGGCAGAGTAGATTCTCTTCCTAGACTCTTCCAGTTGAAATTATTTGACTGATGGAGTCTGTAAAATACCTTCCCTGCCTGAACAAGTGGGGTGGGCTGATGTAATACAGTGAAGATGGTTCTGTAGGTAGCCTGGACCAATGCCATGTAGGCCTTTATAAGTAATAACCAGCACCTTGAATTGGACTTGGAACAAACAAGCACCCAGTGCACTTCACAGATCAGACCATATGTTCTTCTTTTGGGCACCCAGTATAGCTCACAAGGCTGCACTCTCCACCAGGAGAAGCCTCCAGATACTTTTCAATAGTAGCTCCATATAGAGCATGTTGCAATAGTCCAATTGGAAGATGACCAGGGCATGAGTCACTGAGTGGAGGTCCTCCCTGTCCAGGAAGTGGTGTAACTGGCACACAACCTGAAGTTGGGCTAAGGCCTGTTGTACATAGCTTATGATAAATTACCAGACACAGAGGGTCACAACTACACCCACTCCATTTCACTAGGGTTCAGTTGATGTTTAGGATTCCCCATCCAGACCCCCAAAGGCTCCAGGCACTGGGAAAGGCCATCCAATGGACCACTGACTTCACCACTAACCGGATATCATCAGCATATTGGTGATAGTTCAACCCGCAGTGATGGATGATCTCACCCAGCAGTTTCATCAGATGTTAAAGAGCAGCAGGGAGAATACCAAGTCCTGAGGCACATCACAAAACAGGGGCCATAGACTGGATCGCTTGCTCCCTATTAACACCAATTAGAACTTATTTTGGAGGAAGGAAATGAGTGAGTGCAAAATGATGGCATCCACTCCCAATTCTTTTGCTGTTGTTAGTTGCGAAGTCATGTCCAACCCATCATGACCCCATGAACAATGTTCCTCCAGGCCTTCCTGCCTCTGCAATCACCCCAAGTCCATTTAAGCTCATGCTGACTGCTTCAGTTACTCCATCCAGCCACCTCAGTCTCTGTCGTCCGTTCCTTCAAAATGCCCTCAATCATTCCCAATTCATTTTTTTACTTTTTTATTTTTAAAGAAACAAAAACAAACATACATATAACATAAAAATATCATCAATTACATATGTGTTTAGCATGTCGTTTGGTCAAAACGTGTGCATCACCGCTTTCAATTATGTATAAAATCAGCAAATATCAACCCAATGTACTTGAATACATTTTTATCATTGTAAATCATATATTCAGTTAGCTCTTATAATTCCTTCATTTTAGATATGTATTCTAAAAATTAAATTCATATGTATGCCAACTATCTGTTACATCATTATAAATCTATTTAATAACATATCTTTATAGTATCACCCACCTTATTCTGGTATTTCTTGCAGTATATAAAAAAGGTTCACCAACATTTTATATTTGTGTATCATTACTTGCAATNTTATTTTGGCTAAGATCATATACAAAATATGACTTTTCCATCTCTATTGCCTCTTCCTTATGGAAAAAAGAGATTTTGATTGGACACAGAGCCTTTCCCTATCTTAAGAAGTATGCACCAGAAGCGCCTAAAGCAATACAAATTTTGTCATTTGATTCCTGCCCCTTCTCCACTATGAATCCCCATCCTTAGCCATGACACCTACAATGGCCATGGTGAACAGCAGTTCTTGAATTCCATTGAGAAGATATAGTTGGAACCCTCACATCACTTCACTCATTTTATCAGATAGAGACACAAATAACCAACCTGTGGGACTTTGTAGGTGCCGATTGATGTTGACATCTGGATGGAGATGTCCCTGTAAGCTGCATCAAGAAGAGCCAAAAGGTTGTCCTTCTTTCCACAACTGTAGTTGGGAACATTGGCTTCTCCAGTTGACAGCATGTCCAACAAGGCATCTGAAGTGCCAAGTGTGTTCGAATAGTTGTCACGGCAATTGTAGCCAAGTGTGAGATTGTGCAGAATCTGATGATTCTTATTGACTACTTGAGTAGCGAAAATGAAATTTAGCAATCTTGACTGATCAAACGGTAAACTATGGTAAAAAAAAAACAACCTCATGATTTTTATCACTATCTTCAACAGTAATGCAATATATTGATTTTTAATGAACTCCTCTTTATATTCCAATGTCTGAGGCTTCTGTCCATACTGTTCTAAAGTCAGAAATAAATGATTGTCTCTATTACCAATTATTTTGTATCACCAGGTTTAATAGTCATGCTGTACAGAGACACACAGACACACACACACACACAAACAGAGAGAGAGAGAGGAAGAGAGAGAGAGAGAGAATGAATATACATATATACTAGTGATTTTCATTTGTTCAATATTAGGATTCAAAACGATTCAATCATTAAGTTAGACAACTCTACTTCCCACCCCACACAAAAAAGAAGAGGCTATTTCATAAGTGACCCAAGAAGCCAACCGTAAAATGAAATGGGCATTTATATTTTTTTTAAGAATCAGACATTAAATATCAATGAGCATTTATAAAAATGTGGAAATAGGCTAGAGAGAGGTGACTACAACCATTTCAACAACTACTTTAAACAAAAAGTATTCAGGTAATGAACTCAAATAGATGGGAAGAAGAAAATAATTTAGACTCCTTTCGGGGTTTTTTTCTGCTCCAAACTTTGGTTTTGAGTCTCTTTCACAAAATAAGATAAGGTCCTGCAATAGAGGAGTAAGTGGAATAAGAAGAAAATAAGGCAATATTAGAGCTGCAAATGGAGGATATCACACTGTGACTTACAAGATGGACTGAGAATAAGGAGCCTTCTTGAAAGTAAACATTACATGTGATGCTTCTGTTTTAGAGATTACGATACTAATGAGATGGTCTCCTGGTCTGTAATAGCTCTTTGGATTGTTTCCATCCTGGTGTGCCAACCTTAGTNGCTATTTCCTCAACCAGGACATAGTGACTCCTAATTCTATTGAACAGTGTTTGCCATTATAGCATCTGAAGGGCATTTGGGTCAATAGTATTGAGCCTCCCAAGCTGCTTTAACAAGCTGTAAGATTTCTTCTTCACACGTTGACTTCTCAATGAAGTTCATCCACATTTGAAACTGGGCTTAGCTTACTTGAATAGGTCTTAGGGCTTTGGAAAGCAGAGAAAACATAGCCATTTTCCACTCACCTTGTTGAGCAACTTCAGCCGTGAAGAAGCATTTTGGTTGATAATAAGACTCTGTCTTTCAAAACTCCCCAGGTGTTCTTTGATGGAATCCTTTTTGGAGAAAACCAACCAACTCAAAATGTCCAGATCTGTTGCTACATCTCCATTTTGGTCCAAGTACAGTTGAAACTGGGAAAAATTGCAAAATTCATTCTTCTTCAGGAAGGTATGGAACTAAAATGGAAAGATGCAGGAATTTTAACAGTAGAAACATATGTTTCTTATCCTATGTGGTCTTTTCACATTGATTCTTCCTTCTATAGTTGTTTATTATTTTAATAAATAATTTTTATTGAATGTTTTAATCTTCTATAGTTTTTCAAATTGCAGTTTTGTTTAGTGGAGAGACCAAGTGTTACCACTGTGATAAATATATGTTGACAATTAAATAATAAAATTGGCCAAATATGGGAGTATCAAACACAATTTCATTATGGGTCAAATCAGCATTGTGTTTGACCTCGGGAGGCAGGATGGGGGTTGACAGCTATTTGTCACTCATATCAGTGTGCCTGTGGTGGCCCAAGAGCTCTGCCAGTGAAAACGGGCTGTTTCCAGGGTGGACCTGTGGGTCTAAGCACCCCGCGGGCCAGATCCAGCCACCGGACCTGGAGTTTGACACCCATGTTCTAGAGCAAACAATTTGAGTGAAGAACAAATTCTTCATAATTTCCTTGAAAACAATAGCTTAGTCCAAATTAGATCAGACAGGAAATCCTTCCAAATGAGCTAATTCTAAATTGATGGTAGATTAATAGAATTGTGTAAAATCTCACGCCAACTCATTGTATAGCCTGAAACTTTAGGGAAGATTCTTTCTGTGTTTCTTTCTCTACCCACCTCCTTTCTGATAAGAGCCAGCGTCTCTTCCTTCATCCCCAAGATCATTTCTATATATCATTATATCTGCTTTATAGATTGTGGGAATGCTTATGATTTAATCTTGATATCAGCAAAGTATTAAAAATTACTTCTTGATGTGATCATTAGGAATCTAGTTAAATATGGTGGAGAAAAATTGATGTTGGATAAAAGTGGATTAAAAAAAACTGCATTCAATTATTTTTTAATGTTCCTTATAAACCTGAGGAGTTATGAATAACAATTAGCCCTTGATCATCTGTTCTATTCAATATATTTTTATATTAATGCAGACAGTTGGAGTTCATAAATCCAACTGTTGTTGATGAAAGATTATACCAACTTGTAGAAAAAGCAATTTTAATCACTTTTCAAAATTGCTATCTTTTAGGGGGGGAAAAATGACTTCTTTATACAAAAAAGGCATAAAGGAAGTCCAGTAGGGAAATATCTGAATTTTAGCATTTTCTGATATCTAGTAAAAGAGGAAAAAAGAACAGCAGTTGCAAGGTAGATTGTATTGTACCTTTTGTCCTATTATTGTTATGTATATGGTCACTGATAATAATATACCAGTAGCATTTTAATGATTGGATATTAATCATATAATTCATTGTATGATAATTCATTAATTACACACTTAAAGAAGGATGATAAAATGTCAAATCATAGTTGATAGCAAAGTGAATGTGAGCCAGCAGAGTGATGCTCATGGAAAAAAGGCTAATGCAGCCATAAGAATTGCACAAAGTGTATGTCCCAAAGGTGCTTTTTTGGAGGCAATTGCACTTTCTTGTTTTTTTTTTCTTTTGAAGACATTGTCCCAAAACATGGGACAACCATGTCCGGGATGACTGAGAATCTCTACAGACTTTTAGCTGTGCAATTGGGAATGAACATCTTTTGAATGGTGTGGGAGTTGGAATTGATTTCCAGAGGAAACAATGTAGAAGAACTTCTTAACACAAAAATCAGGAGCACTTCTCAAGTGACCTTGAGGACCCAAATAAACCTGCAAGTGCTTCAATAACCCTCTAAAAGGATGCAAATAACCAGCTGTCCGCAAGGAACATAAATACTTCCATTCCCCACTATCATGTCAGAACTGAAGAAGCTTCTTGGAAGAGAAGCGAAACGTCTTCAAAAGAAAAATGTGTAGTATGCTCAATAGTAGTAACTGTGAGAGGGATCTTGGAGTCCTAGTGGACAACCATTTAAATATGAGCCAGTAGTGTGCAGCAGCTGCCAAAAAAGCCAACACAGTTCTAGGCTGCATAAACAGAGGGATAGAATCAGGATCACCTGAAGTGTTAATACCATGTTATAATCCCTTGGTATGGCCACACTTGGAATACTGCATCCAGTTTTGGCCGCCACGATGTAAAAACGATGTTGAGACTCTAGAAAGAGTGCAGAGAAGAGCAACAAAGTGGATTAGGGGACTGGAGGCTAAAACATATAAAGAATGGTTGGAATTGGGTGTGTCTAGTTTAATGAAAAGAAGGAA